CTATCTAGCTATTATAGTTATACAGTGTATTAGTCTACCTTATTATTATTTTATAGGGATTATTCATAGGGTATTTTAGGAATCTTATAAGGCTACTCCTTATTAGAGTTAAGGCTTACTTACTAAGTTCTATACTCTTTATTAAGTAGATTAATAGATTAATTAATTATAGCCTAATCTATTATAGGAAAATCCTCTTAATCTAGCTCTTTATAGTTAGTCTTTTCTTTATTAAAACTAATATTCTAATTACTTCTACTAGTAAGTATTATCTATTAGTAAATAAGCCCTCTAGATATAATATTCTCCTAATTAATAAGACTATCTTTATTACTATCTAATAATTTCTAATTAGTAGCTATAAGTATATTAGAGTCCTTAGTAGGCTAATTACTATTTATATCTTTATAATTAATAGAATCTTCCTTCTTAAGTTCTTTCTTAATTTCTTTATTACTTAAACTAGTACACTCCTAGTATAGTTTTCTAAGTTATCCATTAACCTTTCTTAGTTTAATAGTTCTAGTAGTATTATAACTATTTCTATTAATTATAGTACTAAGCTCTTTTATTACTTATAGCTATTTCTTTCTACTCTACTTACCCCTCTAGAGTTATTACTTACAGGCATTTAATATATATCCTAGTTTCCTATACTAGAAATATAGGTTCTCTTTTCTTTACTATTCTCTTTCCTTACTAGAAAGTACTATCTACTAAGTTATATCTAACTCTATTAGTTATAGTCTATAAGGATCTATATATCTTTAGCTCCTTAGTTAAGCTAGCCTTTTATTATTTAATTAATAATTTATAGTGTACCTACTACTAAAGGTATTCTAATTACTTTATTCCTTCCTATATATATAAAAATCTTATAGTTTATTATTAATCTTAACTACTTACTTAATTATTCTACTAAGCTTACTTAGTTACTCTATCTAAATTAACTTTTCTTAGATATCTAGCTTTAAGCCTTCTTTAAATTATATAATATTTATATCTTCATCCTAGTTTAAGTAGGATATAATCTATTAGAATTATAATATATATTTCTCTATAGATCCTATCTATTTAAGCTACTATAGTTATCTCTTAGTATTATGCTCTTTATTAATATTACTAAAAGTATTCTCTAACTATTTCTTAAATATATTATAACTAGTAAATATCTTATCTATTTTATTAGCCTAGTTATTATTAGTATGCTCCTAATAATCCCTAATAAAAGGCTTAAACTAATTAAATACTAGCCTAGTTAGATAAGTTATAGTAAATAAGACCTTATCTACTTTATTAATAAGTTTCTCTTAGTTTATCTAGATATATATATCTAACTATATAAGAAATACTTATAACTTAGATTAACTTTTATTAAATAGTTCTGGTAGTCTAATCTTAATAGACTTAGCTATAAGTTAACTATTTAGAGTTTTATTCTATTATATTAATCTAAGAATATACTCCTAGAGCTATTTAATCCTACCTACTAGATCTTCTATTATAATCTAAGGCTATATAGCTACTTACTACTATAAAGTTTCTACCTATCTAATATTCAAGCTAGCTAGGGTATATAGTATATTATTTACTATAATATTTAATATTAAGTATTAATTAAACTTCCTAAAGTAATTTATACTATATAGCACTTAATTTATTATACCCTAGGATCTATCTCTACTATCCTCTACTAATTAACTACTTTAGGAATAGGGTGCTATAGTCCCTAGACTTATAGCCTATACTTACCTAAGGTCTACTAACTAGGTAACCTAATAATATAGTAATATAATAACCCCTCTAAGGTTAAGGATAATCTAAATATAATATAGAATAATAATAGTAGAGATAGAAGCAAGGCCTATTAAGTATATATACTTAATAGTAGAGAGTAACTAATAAATTAGACTAGTGAACTTATACTTAAGTAAATAACTTATATTAAGTATAAGGAACTAACTAAGATCTCTAGATATAATAATAGTAAGTATCTTTATATATCTATAGTTCCTCCCTAGTGGTATATATATTAGTATATATTTAATATAGGGGTAGTATATTATATACTCTAATAGGGTAGCCTTAGTATATTATTTATATATTACCTAGTTATATATTAGGTACTATCCTTATTTAAGTAAGTCTAGCCTAGTGCCCAGAGTACTATAGAGTAATTCTAGGTAATAATAGAAAGGCTATAATTATATATAGCCCTTATACTAGAGACCATGGTCTTCCCACAGTTTGATAGTTAAGGTTTATTTAGCTATTATTATCCCAGGATTCTGCCTGTCACGTCCGCCTAGTGTAAGCGCGGCTGTGTTGGTGTCATAACACTTAGGCTATATTCTAAGTCTCTATCTAAGTATATTTAGTAACTAGTTATTAACTAGTTAGCAACTAGTCTATTTTAACCTTTCTTAGATCTCTAACTCCTTACCTAGGTATCCCATCATTAAGTCTACTAATATGAGTTTTATAGAGATACTATTACTAATACTTACTAATATATTATAGAAGTATATAATCACCATAAGTCCCTACCTTAACTAGTTCTAGACTAGTTACTAACTAGTTATAAAGGATAATAGATACAGGGAATTACTCACATTTTTCTTGACAAACACTATCTTGTAGAACTAGTTGCAAACTAGTTAGTAAGATGATATTGTCTTATGTCTAAACTAGTTCCTAACTAGTTAGGAACTAGTTGTGTTGTTATAATAGTGAGATTAAGGTAAGATAATAGTAAGATAAAGGTAAAAGTATTCTAAAGACTAAAGTAGAAGACCTATCTTTAAGATAACTAGGAGAGTAAATATAGAGAGTAGTAGTAATATAGGTAGTAAGAGATAATTAGTTCTTAACTAAGTAAGAACTAGTTATTAAAAAAAAAAAGTAAAAGAGGGGGGCTGGGAGTAGAGTTGCATTTGGTGCGAGTTCAGGCGAGTTCAAAACCAGTTGGCACTGAACCACTGATTTTAAGTTCAAATTTTAGAACCCGCAGCCAACCCAGATCTAATCCGGGTTGGTGGCGGTTTCACCGCAAAAACCCGCTACTAGGCCTAGCTAGGCCTAGCTAGGCCCCTACTAACTAACCATGGTTAGATTTAGTTTGATTTTGAGTTGGTTAAACCGCTACCCCTTAGTGAAATTTAATGGTTTTTGAATTTTAAAATCATTTAATGCCATACTATCTATCATACTATCTATCACCCCTATCAAAAATTAATATTTTTATATGAAATATATCATAATTATCATCATACTAATCTATATCTAAAATATCGATTCAATATCTAGGGGGTTGAATGGGGGGTGGTTAAAAAATTATTTTTAAACCATAGTGGTTGTTAACCATTAGTCATATATATATATATCCACACCACTTTCATACCACCCCATGATAAAAATGATTATTCCTCTATATCTCAGCAACCACTAGGTATTTTAAATTGATATTTATATTACTAGATAGCCTAGATCAGGGGCTATCTAATGATATCAAAAATATTAGAAGATCCCTAGAAATGACTGATATCTAGGTAAAATGGTGTGGGTTGGTTAAACCGTTAGGTTAAACCCGCGAAAACCGTAACCGACGGTTTTCACCGAACCTGAATTGGGCCCGGGGTAGGGAACCCGCCCCCGAAGCGGTTCCCTAGGCTAGGCACCAAACCCGACCCGCTGCGGGTTCAGTGAGGGTTGGATTCGATTTTTGCGGTTCGGTTATGCAACTCTAGCTGGGAGGGAGATAAGAGATATATAAGAAGGTAAATTATAGTAAGAAGGTTAGCTAACCTTTAAAGTAGAGATTAGTCATATAATCTAGGCTTATCTTATTCACTATCTCAGCTATCTTAGCACTAGCTGAACTTTTCCAAAAGGTTGGCTGACCTGTAGTCACCTCTGCATTCCCCCCTCTTTTTCCAACAAGGACCCGTGTTTACCCGGAGATTTGCCATCATCTGCCCAGTATTATTTCATCGTTTGGTTTAACGGAGAAAATGAGGTACTAATCTACTAGCCTTCACTTTCCTGCTGTTGCTGGCAGCTGTTGATCTGAATGGTTTTATTTCCATAATCAGTTGCTTTTTAGCCGACCATCATTTCCTCCCGCCCATTGATCACACGTTCTTTTCCTACCATAGATTCTGTGCCCGTTTATTGACGACGTCCCGGCGACCTCAGTTTCAAGTCAGCATCGAGTGGCGCAGGCAGTCTGCCTTCAACAAACAATGAGGATGGAACGTAACACTGTGAGCCGACCACATAAATTTGGCGCTCAGCCCACAACAAACACTGGTTGAGTAATCTTTCCGCTCGCGCAGATTTGCCAGAAACTGCAGGAGTGCAGGTCTCATTAACCTTTGCATGGGTGAATCCCTGCTTCCACAGCCCAACAGTGCAAGGTAATTGGACAAGCACTATACTCACAGGAGCAAGCTGCATCTGGATGACACCAGTGAGTATCAAGATTGAGACAGACATACATGAGGAAATACACTTGGGCACTTGTCTACACACCCAATCCATTATACAGAAACGCTGTTTACGCTGGTACCTGCACCCTACATCTGACAACATGCAAAATAATTCCCGCAATATGCAGCTCCTGCAAAATCAGTGACGCATCCCTGTTCTCCGCTGTAATATGCATGGGAGGTAAAGCAGGTGTGAAGGATGAAATCTAGTATATAAGGAGGACTTGCTTTCTACTATACAGAATTAGCCTTGTCAGAACTTCTGCCAGCGTCATCAACAGTCATCATTGCAATCACTAATCAAACCAACGATTTCCGGACAATATCACTTCCACATCTATTTTGGTGACCTTCAACGGTTTAATAATAGTGTGCCAACTAACTAATACTCTTGCAAATATTACGCACGCCGTGAGCTATTCTGCCCCTTGTCGCCCTCGTCCCCTGTGCCATCCCTGCTTGTCCGGCAAACCTATCGTCTTCAGCAAACCATTCGTCCACGCTATCGCTCCAATGCCTGGGCCACTCCCTCTACCGGTCCTTGACTGTCGTTGCGGTGACAAAATCATACAGCGTCCATTACACAAACAAGGCGTTTTCACCAACGCCAGTGACCTCACTCATGAGGCCTACCAGTGTCTTGCCATTACGGCCACCAGCTGTGTGCCGCCGAAGCTCATAGTCCGTGACTGGTCGCGTATACTTGGAATGCTGGGGGTTCTGGGTTACGACATGACTCTACCAGAGAGTGTTTTGCATGCGGACTGCGAGTGTGTCGATTACCTTCTCGACTTTATCGGAGGCCCGCTATGTTCCGCGCTCTCTCTGTACGGCGTCACCTTATGCCACAGTGCAGGTCGCGCACTCTGCCGCCACTGCCTTTCTACTGGCCACTTTATGCTATTCGCCGCGTACCTCCTTGCGGATGTGGGCAGATCTCAGTGGGCCACTGCCCTCACGCTCATCCGTGTGACTGAGTGCTTGGGTTGCGCGACCTATGATGCGCTCCGAAGCAGTGATGGTCAAGCCTGTGAGTGTGCCAGCAATGCTTGGAAATGGTGCCGGGGCCAGATCTGCGCTGCTCGCGCGAGTGCCGTCGTGCAGTGTGCACGCACCCTTGCCGGCTTATATGACCCTTACGGGCCTCGCTATTTGGCGAACATTGTTGGCGAATTCAGGCCTGACAAAGTTGCTGATACCGCACACCACTCTGGCGCACGAACAATTTTCGAGCTTACCATCGTGGCTTACACTCCATACTCGGAACTGCCCGCCGCCCTGGGCATGAACGACTGGGCTGTGGGCCTTGAACGCGGTTTCGGCATGCGCGACAACCGCAGAGTAGCTCTGCCGCCATCACTGTCCACGGAAATCGTCCAGGCCACTGAAGCAATTCGCGGTAACGCCGGCGCGCGCGCTGGTGTTGAGCCATCCGCATACTTGCCCTACATTAGGCGCCGCTTAATCGACGGTTTCTGGGTTGCTACAGCCGCTGCCGCGTTCCCCGCCTCCGCTCCCTCTTCGCCCTTGAGCCTCGCCGCGGTGATGACCGCCGAACTGCCTGATGTCGTGCTAAGGAGCGTGGGGACGTTTGATAAGTACGCGGCGGCACGGGCTAGGCTCGAGGACCGGCGTTTCGATGCCTCGTCTTTCGCCGAAAATGTGACTTGGGCTGGCATCTCTGCGCTCGATGCCCCCTGGCTCACCCAGCTGTGTCGGACCTGCTTCGTCAGCATTATGTCCACCGACCATTTGGGTAGGCCGCGCGTCCCTAGTCTCCCTGAGCTGGTTGGCACAGCTGCCGATGGCGCTAGCGCGTACAGCAACTCCTGGGTTCAGTTACTCTTCCTAGACGATGGCGACGATGCCAAGCAACTGTTGCGCTACACGGAGATGGGCCATAAGCAGGGTTATATTCCTCCCGAGACAGACGCCAGCTACTGCGAAGGGGTCAGCGTGGATGTTGCTGTAGTGGACGGTGACCCAGCCGACCCTGCCACTGCAGCGCATAGGTACGGCCTCGGCTTGACCATAGCCCTTGCGTCGGCGTCCTACGGAGTCAAGAGAGTTGCGACACCGTGTGTTGAGGTAGCCGCTTTCTACCGTGCCGTGCTGTGGTCGCGATGGTACGGTTGCGGTGGTCGTGACGCTCATGTCGTCTCTGCAGGGTGGTCATACAGGCGCCGTCCTGATCCGGGGCAGCAGCTTCCGCAAAGCGCAGCCCCAACCTTCCCCCCGCTTATTGGACAAGGCTTGCGACTGGTAGCCCAGCGGTTGATAACCACCCACCTGGTCGCCTGGGGCAATCGGCTCCCTTCATCTCACTAGGGTTACCTTGGGATAAACGTGATTCTAGGCGCTGCGAACTTGCAAAAATGACAATCAGGAGAGTTATCAAAGAGTTTGTCACTTGGTTACGAAGCCTATCTAAGAAGCCTCTTTTATGAAAAACCACCTGATACGAAAGCCACATGTGGTACAAGGCTTAATGCAACTTACGATCGGATGATCGGCCAATCAAACCCTAGGATATACAATGATAATCTCATGTAATTTGTAACGATTTTATAAAATATTGTCGGTACCCCTAGCTAATGCTTAAGACTATGGCAAAGAAAATATCTATTTGTGCCAAATGACCACTGAGTTTTATGAGGCGATTTCTGTATATCACGTATAAACTGGAAGTACGCAGACGAGGTTACATGGCTGTTGAGGGTCAGGCAAGTGACTAAAGAGAATGCAGGAGACTACACAGTAAATTTTTAGCTGAATTAGTCACCTGAACACGAATAATGTATCTTTCTCCCAGAATGCTAGTGTGTCTCGTATTGTCCATGATCAACCATTTCAAAAATGGAATTAAACGAGCTCTTTAGCCCGTGTCCTCGTATTTAAGAGATGCACTCGAGTCTCAAGATAAAATTCCTGTGCAAGCAATAAATCTCGCAAATCTTCTAGCAAGTTATCCGATTCAACATCGCAACCTTGGGCGTGAAGCCGGATCCAAAAACGGTAAGCAGTCACGCATCACAACAATGGTGGGGTCTTGCTTTGCGTTGGCTAATGTCGCCTCGACGGCGCTTTATACTTAGAGGGCGATGATGGAGGATGAGTATACGATTCAGCACTCTGGTATGTGGTGGGTGGGCAGTTTGGGTGTTGTTGAGGGCGTCTTGAGTGAAAATCGATCTGTTAGAGTTAATGATGCTCGAGCCGAGGATGTATAACCCATTTCGATGAGCTTGCTCCCCGTAATCGATCAATAATAAACGCTCCATTTTCTCAAATTTTCCAGAGGAGCAAGAAACGGCACCTGAAGCTTCAAGGGATAGGTAACTTAATGGAGAGGGATACGAGCTTTGTGTTCTACAGCAATATCACCACCCGGCCTGAGGTCACATCGCTCCACGCCTGAACCTCACAAACAGTGAAATGGGAGCTAATAATATGCACTTGGCGGCCAAGAGTACCTAACTCCTCCTGGATTGATTCGGCGACGTGTCTCGCCATTGGCGGATCGAAGCGACAAATCCAAGATTCCGTGGTCAGAGTCCCTATATATGTTTCGCCGATCTTCGTGTTTCTCGTATCGCCATTTGCTCAAGTACCTATATGCCGTCAGACCACCCTGTAGCCGAGAAGGAGATGCGTCCCCGAGAGGTCTATTTAATATCGCAACTGTCCAACCTTGAAGCTCTCATGCATATTTCCTAACCTTCCCTTCACCCCCCGTCCCCGACCAAAACCCATCCAATCCTCCAGTCGCCATGCGAGCCACCCTCTTTCTTCTCCTCACTGCCCTAACAGGCGTGATTGCCAAAATCCCCAACTCCCCCCGATTCGACCTCACGAAACCCTCGTATGACCTCTGGCGGCACAAGAGAACCGCCGCTGTAACCGTCCAACAATCATTCACCTTTGACAACGTCAACCGCCGCCTCTTCATCGTAAACCGTCGCGACGGCTCCGCCCTCGACTCGGGAGACTTAACAATCAGCCAACTCGACTTCTCGGGAAAACTCCTCGGCTCGATGGACCTGCTCGGCTGCGGGCACGGCGTGAATATCGCCGCGGAACCAGTCGGAAGCGATACGTATATCTGGAGTGAAACCGACGCCACAGCAAGCGGATACGGGAGCGCACTGTGGAAGTTCAAGTTTCAGAAAGGGAAGACGTTGAATAGCGCCACGGATAAGCGGAAGCGGATTGTGCCGTTTCCGGAGTTCGATAGGGGGACTGCAACAATTGACCCCGTTTATAAGCGATTAATCATGCGATACCAGACTGGATCCGTGCAGAATATCGCCGCATTTGACCTTGCCGAGGCAAGCGCTGGCAATTTTTCGAATCCGCTGGCGAACTGGAAGATTCCGGATCTTGTTAACGAGCTCGGGGCAAAGGTTAATGTGTTTCAGGGGTATGCAGCTTACGGGCGGTATGTCTATTTCCTGACTGGGGAATCCTATGACGCTAGTGGCGGTAAGTTGAATTCTGAGGTTATGGCTCTGGATTTGGAAACCGGGAAGCTTGTGCAGGGGCCTGTCATTACGAAGGCTGGGTCGACGTTGGAGTTTCGTGAGCCGGAGGGGATGGCGATTTATAAGACAGCCGATGGGGAGGTGAGGCTTTTCTTGGGGTTTTCGTCGGGGGTTGCAGGAGACCGGAGGAGTAATCTGTTTTATAAGAACGAGTTGATATAAGGGTTGTTGATGTTGTGAGGAGCTTGAGGGAGCAAAGGTGTATATATCATGTCTGGGGACCACAACAAACCTACCGGGAGCAGCCTGCTCGGCTCCAAGAACCCATGGGACTCTTCATGAATTTTCTGAGGCACGGATAATGGAAGTACATATCTACCAGCACAGTAGGATAAAGCAACCAAAAGGAGGGTACAGTTTTGCTCTGGGCTGATGTACACAACATTGGTATGATATATTTTTCGGTCCAAAACAGCAGTACCGTAACTACGTTGGCTTCCTCGGAAACCGGTAAAGCCCACAGACTTCTGCCGACATACTGTAGCGCAAAATCGTCTTCTAACGTCGAATGGGCCCGAGTTGGCCAGAGTTATCACCTTAATCAGGGGAAGGTTCTCCCAATCTGTACCATTTGTGGCAGATGTCATGGTGTCCGTGACACTGCCCACCAAAGAGGCCTTTCATGCCAAGACCCCGGGCTGACACGTTGTCGATCTGCTGCCCGGTCTAGATCATTCTATAAGTGGCTAGATCGTGAGAATTAAAGACGAATCGGATAGAATAGAGCTTGTATAATTTCCTAAATAGCAGCTGGAACACTCGGCATGTCAACAAGTACGCGCTTCCATACCAGCCAACGTCATCAAATGAGTCAAATTCATTGGTGATTTTAGGGATGGTGTTAAAGGGCTACAGCGAACCATAAAGCCGCCATATACAGCCAACACTAATAGTGCAGAGGGTTTAGACCTAGCAGATCACATGATCTACTATATATATCTCTATAATTAGCTGAGTATTCTATAACTTAGTAATTAGTTCTCCTTACTTAGGTAATATATAGATATTTACTCCCTTTATACTAATCTTACTAGTTAATATTAACCCTTAGTAGGTAATCTTATAGTTCTAATTACTCTTAAAAATCTAATTAGCTCATTAGGACACTATAAGATAATAGTTAATATTAGATCTTTCTCTAGAACTCTAAACCTATATAGTAAATCTATATCTATAGTAGAAAGGATAATTCTAATCTATAAAGAACTAACTAATCTTATAGAATCTATAACTAAATAACTAGATAATAGTTATAGTAGTATTTACCTACTATATATAAATAACTAACCTACCTCTAAAAGGGTAGAAAGGGTGAATACCCTTATAGAATTAGAAGTCTAATATATAGAAAAAAAGAAATAACTAATAAATACTACCCCTAATAATAATAATAAGATTATTTATAAACTTCTAGAAAGAGAATATTAACTTAAGTAAAAGCTTAGATAAGTAGAAATTAGGAGATATATCTAGAAGATAAAAACTTAACTATAGGAAAACTATAATAAAGATTTTATATCTATATTATACTAGGAGGTAGATAACCTTATTAGATAAGAAGTAGGGAATACTAGACTACTACTAGAACTAACTATAGAGATTAAGATAAAGATTAGTAGACTAGAAAGACTATATAAGCTAGTAAATATTAAGTAATTTATTATATATTCTATATAGAAATATATTACCTTCTTTAATTACCTAGAGATATACTTTAAAGAATATCTAGACTAGTTTAAGAATAAAGAAAACTATATCTATATAGCTTTAGCCTAGCTTATAGATATATACTATAATAAATAGTAGACTTATAAGGCTAAGCTTACTAAAATACCTAGATAATTAGATTTTTAAGACTTCTACTTATATCTAGTTTCTATACTAGAATAACTCTATAAGGAAGTAGTAGTATAATATTTCTTTATTATCTAACTAGAATATTAAAGTATATAGGAATTCTCTATATTTATTAATAGAATCTATAGTTAACTAGCTTAACTACTACTAGATTTTATCTATAAAGACTTCCTCTATACTTATATTTTACTAATTATCTAAAGTAAAGCTACTAGATTTACTAATCTACTAAAACTACTAGAGGTATATATCTCTTATCTAGTTACTATTAAAGATAGAATCCTATTATAATAGGATGCCCTATAAAAATAATATAATATTTAATATAATAATTAGCAGAATTCTAAACCCTATAGTAACTAGTTAGGCTATACTAAGGACTACTAACCTAGAGATAATAGATATTCTAGTAATAACTATAGATTAGAATCTAGGAAGTAGAAATACTCCTACTCTCTATACTAGGAATATCCTAGGCTATACTATAATAGATATAGAGAATATAGCTATTAGCTAAAGTACTATATTAAACTATAGGTTCCTAAGTATTTAAAAAACTAAGCTAGCCTATACTATATACTACTGTAGTATTAGATATTAGAAGAAATTCTAATAGTAGTTAGGCACTAGCTTACCTAATAAATATTCTTATTAAGGGAAGCTACTACTAATATTAAATATTAATTAACTATAGAGCTAAATAAATATTTATTAGCTAGTAGTAGGTAAAAGAGTTCCTATCTAATATAGAAAGTCTACCATAACTAGTACAGGCTATTAATAGCTATAAGGTGATATCTTATAGATAATATAACCTAGAAATTAAGATTACTAATTCTATAGGAAATATTAGAATTTACTAACTAGCTACTGAGACAGTCAACATAGTAGAATATAATTTAATTCTAGGAATAGACTAGCTAAAAGCTA